AGTAACCAAATTGGACCCTTCACCTCAAATCAATGGAATAAAAGTCTACTGGGAATATGAAGAGAGTCGTAAATGGTTACCATTTTCAGAGAGTTTGTCTGAAAATATTCTGAGTAATAAATGTTGGAGATAACATTATCAAGTTTGAATTTAATTTTCTGAAACATTAGAGATTTAGATTAAACAAATGTATTTGTATCCAGTAAATTTTATTTCGTATACACATTAGTGAAAGTTTGTATTAGTCTGGCTGAATTGAAAAATAGTGGGTCACCAAATAAGGATAACATCTGTCATTATGACAGTAACAATGGTCTAAAAATTAATTTTTTGTAAATATTAATTGGAAAAGGTCTGGTTGTTCATTTCTAATTTCTAAGAATGTTTCACGTTATATGGGTTCAATTAATCTTGGATTTTTATTATAACTGGAGCATTTTTGACTTTTTATCATTTCACCTCAAACAACAAGGACGCAAGGGGTTACTGAGAGTGAAAGAATGAGAAGATATTAGTGAGGAGAAAGGACAATAAAAGAACAAGAAGACAGTAAATGGTAACTGGCATTGCATTTAATTTTTTGAAAACAGTAGGTGACAGGGAAGTAAGAAATCAGAAGAGTTCCACAGGCGAGAAGTGTGAGAAAAGAAACTATTAGAATAAAGCATACAATTGCATCAACGTAGTTCAACAGTAAAAAAAAGGAGATATGTAGCTGTCAATCCAGTAGCAAGCTTATTTATGTAGTCGAGGCACCAAGGAGGAAAGCTCATCAGAACAATGGCCACGAAAATATTTGTAGAAAAGACAGGGAAACCAAGTCACATAAATGAGAAAGTAACTGAAGTCAAGATGCCAGGTCAAGATCGATTACAGTACAAACCATTCTTTGAATTTTGTCAAGAATCTTGAGATATATATTAGGAGCACCAGACTAGATATGGTGGCAGTATTCAATGCATGGACAAATGGTAGATTTATAAATATGTGAGATAGATTCTGGTGAGAAAAATTGTCTGATATGAAACTGAGCCAACTTTCCTAGCAGTAGACCTAGCAACTGATTCAATATAATGACTCCACTTCATGTCAGTGGAAAACATAAGCCAAAGAAGATGCTATGTGTTGCCATGGGAGGATAAAAAGCCATGCAGGAAAGGTTCTCTGCCATTATGATTAAATTAAAATCAGTTTTGTTTTAAGTTATTCTTAGTAGCTTTTTTTTTTTTTTTGGGATTTTTTGATTCAAAAAGAATTTTTTTTTTAGTTTTTTTTTACAACATATCTTCATTATTCAGACTTTTATCCTCATGAAAAAAAACAAATAGATGATATTGATGGAGATGCATAAAAACCAAGTTCCACGCAACATTTCAGTCAAGCAAGACACAAATTGAAATGGGATCAGACATAAATTGACAGGATGAGGGCATTAGCAATAAATCAAAATTATCACCAGCAATTCAACCTATATATGGAAACTCATTTTTTTAATCTACATTTATTTTAAAACCAAAATTTATCTGAGATATTTAGAAACCATTCTTCAGTTAGGAGTGGATAAAGAAGCATTCCAATTAGATTTATGGACCATTCAGTTTTTTGAACTCAAAATGATCTTTTTTTTTCATTTACAGTTCACAATGGGAAAGAGAGAAAAAAACTTGCCTTTCTGGATTAATAATATCTCAAACAAAGCATAGGTTCAAGACATAAAATTACCTAAAATGAATTTTAAATTCAATTTTTTTTTTTTTCAACTCCCACCACCATACAGTGTAAAGAACATTTTTTTCCTCGGGATGAGTGTTAAATATCCCTCAAAAAGTTTGGTAAACTAACCCAGATGTTCGAAAAATGGTCATTTTGTAATTTTCATATTTTTTTTTTTTTTTTTTTTTTTTTTTTTTTTTTTTTGTAAGATCTCCAACAAACTTGATAGAATTAAAAAAGGATTAGCAAAACAAGTAAAACAACGATCAGTATTATTACTTTTAATTTGAAGGGATTTCCACAGGAAATACCTTTTTTTTTTGGTTGCTATAAATCAGGACAACCTTCAAGATTTATTGTCAACACTTTGATTTTTCTTAAGTTCCAAGAAGACCCCACCCATAGTCTAGAGGAAAATAAAAAATTGATTATGTACGTCATTACAGCTTTTAAAAAATATAAAGGAGAAACAGGCTAACTCGGATTTAAAACTCAAAACATTGATTAAATTGGTAACACGATATGAAATAGAAAATCAATGTTACTTCTGACCACATATTCTTGAGTTCAGGAGATCAGTAGCTCCTTGGGATGAGGTTGAAATAATTTTTTTTTTTTTTCACTAAAAATATGAAATTTTAGGAATTGGTTTTTTTTTCACTTTGTTTTTTTTTTTTTTTTTTTTCTGAGCCTCCCCAAACATAGAAATGAATATAATATGGAAACTTAAAAGTAAAAAGGATGCTAGAAAAAAAGCAATGAATAACAACAAAAATTGTTTTGGGTT